TTAGGCACCTACCGACATATTTGGATGGGTGTGGTCAGGTGGATGTAACCGTGGGTCTGGGTATGAGTGTAGAAGTGAGTGATGTAATAGTCATTTACGCCGACTCAACATACTCACACCGTAGATTCCGATCAATGATCTTCATGAATAATCTCTGCTGCTATGAGTTTAATTATAACTCTTTCGTAAATGTAGAACTGAAGCTGAGAAAATATCGATATGTTTTCTATGAAGGTATTTTATTAGTCAAAGAAAAAAAGAATAGAGAAATGACGATATGTTAATAGTGTTAATATTCAGGACTAATCCAGCTACTCGAAGGGTTACAATAGTGTTTGTTATATCATTTATGAATTGAAGTTTATGTATTTGTAGATAGTTTTACACGAGGCAAGTTTTTAACAGAGACAGATATATTTTTTACACCATCACTTGAAATATTGACATTATCGTGCTGTTGGTGATTGCTTGTGTGTAATAAATTTTCTTGAACGTTTATTGATTTTGATAATTTAGCTGCTTTGACATTACCTTCATTAGGCATGTGAGAGGTCACATTTGATTGAGGTATCTTAATCATATTCATTTCTACAGTTTGTCTTTTTTTGGTTGGCAACAAACTATCGTTCGTTATTTGTAAGAAACTCTCTTTATTAGGTAAACTTGATCGATTTACTTTGCTTACACTAACTGAACCAGATGGTCGTGGTTTTGACAATAAATCACCTGCTATCTGTGTATTTGATTGAAATGAACCAGCTAATTTTGATGCATCGATACTATGATCACGTGGTCCTATTGAATTCCTTTTTGATAATTTCATCATCTTTGAAGACGAGTTTTTCTTGGTACTAATTTTTCTCAACTCAGTATCATCATTCGTATTTGGAGGTTTAATATTTTTATTTTCTTCATTTGCTAAAGGTTTGTCGATTAGACTGATACCAGTTGCAGACGTAAAACTCATACTTTGTATGTTTGGTTGTTGTTGAAAACTTTTATTTTTCGCTATGTCAAAAATAGAGCTTGAATAAGGCGCATTTATCAGTGCACTATTAGTTATTGGTTCACTACTTGTTGATATACCGTTCTTCGAATTCAATGGCTCAATTGTGCGACTCTTTCTTGATATTGTCTTCTTGGGATTAGGTTGGTTCTTAACAGATACTAATTGTCGCTGGGTTCCAAAACTAGATTCTAATGGATCGGTTTTTTGCTCATTCATCGACGAGTATTTTAAAATGTGGTCCTTTTCTTTAGCTGTTCGATGACGACGACCTTTAGCACTAAGTAGACAAACAAATATTGCATTTCTATTTTACAACGATAATCGTGGATAAAAATGAACTTACAACAACCACCACCAACAGCAACAACATAAACCCAATAGAGAAAGAAATCCTAATACCGACAAGGCAATAATCCATGCATCGTTTTCTTTGTTTCATATAAAGATAAAATTTATTTTCTTGCGTAATACTTATTTGATGAGTACTTACTTGTATTGGAACCGGTTTCTGCACTTGTATTACTTGCTCTATAAAATATTATATTTAGTAAACGATGAAAAATATTTCAAAAGTACTCTGTTGGGTATGCTATGCATAGAACACGGGTCAAACAATGAGACTTCAATACTCCCAAGTACAAGTGCAGGACAAGTGAAAGTATGGATAAAATAAGGATATTCATTTGCACTTTAGAGAACTGGAGTCTCGTTTTCCTCTCTTCAAATGTATATGTGCGTATCGCATGTGGATATCAAAAGATGATCAATATTTCAGTCACATTCACACACTTTCGATTGTATACGACAACTTACGCTGCATTTGTACTTGACGTATTTGTCACACCTTAAAATAATAGATTTTGTGGTTAGATAAAACGATTAGAATTGAAAAAAGAAGACCTACATGAAAGGGGTGAACCAGCAGAAACAACTCTGAATGTAAGACAATATTGATCTGATTGTATATCCAAACTATAAACAAGACGAAAAGGATCTACCAAGATTCTTACTCTAATTAAACATGTATGCTACCTGTCAGTGACTACAGCACAATAAACTTGAGATCCTATCTGTAATGTCACTGGGGTCCATGTTTCAGTGACTTCCCATGTATTAGTCGTTCCAACTTGTACTACACTACTTTTGATCATATAGAGAGGAGGTGTCCTGAAGAAATCTAATATGGTAGTCCCAGTACAACCTTGAATAATTGTCAATGTAAAATTAAATGTTTGACCAACTTCAACTGCTGTACATCCAGACAGTGTCGAGTTAATTGTAGGTTTTAATGAACAACTAGAAGTATTTACAATATGTATTAAAAATTGAATAGGAACACTACTAAATGGTGTATATGTAGACTGATCGTAGAAATCTTCAACCATTAATGTTACTGCATAATATTCTCCTACACTTTTGCCAGTACTGTTAAATGTCACCACACAGTCTTCATCATAAAGGATACTGCCGGGTGCTGTTTGACAAACATCACCACACTCATCAAAAGTAGTCGTCTTTTGAGCCCATCGACAACTAATTTACAAAATTACTCTATGATATGAATAGAAATTCCTCAAGAATTCATAAATACCTTGTATAATCATTATCAGCATCAATCACTGGAATCGTTATATTAGTTAATGTATCGATTGAAACTTGAATAGCTAGATAGAACAAAGAAAACAAACATAAAATGATGAATAATTTTTAAGACACAGATAATCATAATAAATAGACAACAGAATTTTACTTACAATGTACTTATTAAATAATTCATATTTAATTCTTTTTTTCACTTCTATATTTCAATTCCAATTTGTTATTCTCAAGATGCTTACCGATTTTGTCTCTGTACAGGCCTTTAGTGAGCTTCACATCCTTTTTAATTTTCGATCTTAGTATATTCTATTTACTTAGCATTTTATAATTCTCCAACACCTAATATTTTAGTGATTCTATTCTCATTTAACTAGTCTGTGTTCGTCTTTCACTTATCCAGAAACTTATAGTTCAGAAAAAGTGTTTTATCATTCAGAAAACGAATATCAATTTGAACTTGTAAACGGAATTACTTTTTCTGTCTCATAGAAAATATCAGTAAAGTGTATTCTATAAAATACGATTTGATAGAATCATCAAAATGAACTATTGCTAATGCTCGATGAAAACTTTGGAGCATGGAAAACTAAGAAAATAAGATAAAATACTTGGAAAAAAACGTATAGTTAGCTTATACGCACGTGATAGGACCGTAGCAACCGGTGGTGTGTTAATGAACCCATCTGACCTAACTGTTAAATCAAGACAACATCCGATTGACCATGCAGCACTTGTACTATAGCAACTAGCTCCAGTTGTCGTTGATACTGTCGTTCTTTTAGTTGTTGTCGTTCCTGAACCACTAAAAAAAAACCGTTTCTTTCTTCCAGTTCCACCACAATTTGATGATTGTAAACCGATCCAAGCGCTACCTTGAAAAGATACGCAGAATACTGAGCCAGCTGTGATATTTTGAATTGTTGAAATTTGTCCTGAACTTGAATCAACGATAGTACTGAAATCAGTGCAATATTCACCAATGTCTATTGAAGAATAAGAGCCACATGCACTAGAAGGAGTCGTTCTACATTGAAGTGTATTAGTTCCACTGGATAGTTTAGGTGATTGATTCGTTATAACAGTTTGGTCACAGTATGTTGAAGCACCGAAAGATCGTCGCCATTGATATGATTGTGTGAACATAATGGCAACTTTTGAACTAGTGTCCGTATTACTCATCGGACGCCATGTTACTGTTCCACCATAGAAATGAGATGATTCAATGGAGACAATACATAAGAATAGAATTATGTATATCATGCTTGTAATCAATATGACGTCTATCTACAATAAGTAGTAGCATATATATAAAAATGTTCTTTAATTTGATGCATACACTTTTGTCTTTGATTAAAAGACTTCTAAAAAGAAAATCTCATCAATTCAACAATTTTTGTTATTTTTCAATTTTCATCCCTCTCTTAATCGCAGAAAAAAAACATTGTATTAATCTAGCGACATGAAAGTAAGAATAATTTCTGATTTCAAGCTGTTTGTTTTTGTTTTTGTTTAATCATTTGCTTAGCTATATGCTTTTTCATATTTCGATAAAGCTTGAATGCGTACAACAACTAAAAACTACTGATGGATGTATGTATGCTAGTGAAAACATAACCCATATTTTGCTCAAAATCGACACCGAGCGACCCACTGATATCTCCTATCAGAAATTCAGCTTTCAAGAAAGACATCATAAGACTTTTGAATAATTGAATCATTCATTTCCATAAAAAAAACGTAGTTTTACAAAGGTTTCGATGAACTACTTAGCTTGAATTAGAATCTATGTCTGATGTACTTTTTTCTCAATTTTCTTTGACATAAAATCCGAAGTCCGTACTTCCAGTCGTTGTATGTCGATGAGGCATGTGGTTTTCACTGATTGTTAACCAATAAGTCAATCTTCTTCAAGCGCAAATAAAAATCAATCAGATTACGAGTCTCAATAGAAAATATCATTATATTGCTATTTTTCTCTTTTCTTTAGTCTAATAATAATCATCCAACTTGTAAGATGATTATAAAAATATTTCTCCTTGAAACACAAACTTTATCAATCGTATGTTAATTATATCTGAAAAGATCACTCAGAAAAAGGAACGAGCAGCATACTAATAAGAACTTGGTCGGATTCTATCAGCCATTGTGATATGTGATTTTGTTTTTTTTTTCATTTCAATTACTCAGCAATCGATCTCACCCACTTAGAGTGTTCTTTTTTTGTGACTCCCGTTCTCTTTCGCTTTTCTATTGTGCGATGCAATCAAAACAAATAATAGTTGTTACATTTGACTCTCTCGATGTTGACAAACTCATGTTTTTGTTGGTAGAAAAATCTGAAGTAGATATGTATAAAAATTTTACTCATTATATACGAATGCAGTTTTTGCTTAATCATCTCCATTTCGAGATAGATTCTGTTTGATTTATAACTTGCGTTACAACAAATTGTACTTTCTAATGTAAATAAGTCTTTTAGAATCGGATCATTAGTTCGAAAAAAACTGATCTGGGTATCTATTCTTTCTTTTCTTTTCTGTACAAAATAAGAATTATTCAGTCAAGGGATATTTACCCGTCACAAGTGATCATATTCAAATAGGTTTCTTTATAACAACTAATGAGAAAAAATGTTTCGAGATCGAAACTAAATTTCAATTTTATTTCTATTCATAAGATATACAACGATAGTCGAAAAATTCAGCTTCTGAAAGTCTATTTTCATTGAGTTGTTGACAAAGATCAATAATGAAATATCGTAAATCAAACAAAGCATCGAGATTCAGAAAATGTAAGGCTTTATTCATAACATTAGAAATGAAGTTTGATTGAGTATACGATCAAAAAATATTCTTCGAATGACAATTTTTAACCAATTCTTCTACTTTATTCAATTGAAAAGTCATTATTTCTAGAATATTCTTGCAAACAATGCATCATATTATCCTTAGCTAGATCAGACTTGTGTATAAACGAATGGCAACAACATTTCGAAACCAATGAACCCAAATAAATTGAAAAGTGTGTTTTGTAAGATTTCGTGTTGATTCCCGTGCTCATCTTCTTTGATATAATCGTGTTCCGGTACTTCGTGCACGTTCAACCAAATTAGACACAGCATCACTCATGTTATTTATTTTAGATTGATTAGCTAAATCAGCATCATCGATTCTATTAGAAAAAAAAAGATGAAGATACTATGATAAGTAGGAATAATCTCATGGAATAATTTTCTAAACTACGCAAGATAAAAAGAATTTATTAAATGAAGAAAAAACTATTTTAAACAATATCATTAAAGTCATGATATTGGTATTCTATTCGTTCTCGTCTGTCTCCTTGTACAATAGAGAATAGTAGACATATTAAAATGTTATATTTACACAGAAAAAATATATATTCTTACAAAGAAACATACAGTACGAAAATAGTCAACTGATTCTTTGACAGTTCAACGTCTAGTATTTATCACTCATCACGTATCACAAATATTATGATATATTTTAAAGTATTGGTTCAATCTAGCAATATCTTATACAAAATTTTAATAGTAAAATTAAAATGGAAATGACATTAACTTCGTT